CATTTGTTCCAAATATTTCCTTCTCAGTGAACTCTTGTGTTATTTAATTCTAATGGCAGGGAAAATTTTTTAAAGTTTTTTCTTGAAGGCAAAGAGTAGTTTCAACTCTTATTTCCTTTAGCTTCTCTTCATTCCTGAAGTACATTTGCGGTTTCTCTTTCCACATAAAACTCCTTTTGTTTACAAATTATTCAGTTAAAACAGGCAAAAAAAAAAATCTTGGTTGTTGAAACGAAGCTAATGTAAAGAAGGAATTAAAATCCGGAATCAAATTGTTTGAGCAAGAAGAAACAACTGTATCTCCCAGCCACTTTAATCCTGATTTGGAGAACACAAATGCTTGCTTAGCTCTGTTGGAACTTGCTGGGGAACTGAGGTCAGTATTTAATATAAAAAGACATAGTGCGGACTAAGCCTTATGAATAATAATGCCATCTGCAATATTAATTATTTTCCTTAATTCTGTGTTGGATGGGGAACAGTGTCTAGCTTCAAAGGCATTTTTATTGTGTTTTGCTAGCTTGCAGTGTTTGCCTATTCAGTCCAGGCACAATTTGTGGACTACTGGTTAATAATAATATGCATATTATTCTGAGTAGCATTAAATGTAGTAGAAAGTAAGATTATATGAGTACCAAGCAAATATACTTACCTCTTCAGGTAAAATTACTACAAGATCTGATTCGAACTGACCCACAATTCTTGAACGAAAATAGATGCTGCAGGCTGCAAGCACAGAACAATGGGCCCGAAATCTCTGGTCTTCTACTAAGATAGTAACATCACAAAAAAGATCTTGCTTTCTCTGTTCATCAAGACTAAGGAGAACATTGGCACTGTGTACTGAAGACTCATATGCAAAAACAACGCTGTTCCTTTCACTTAAAGGCATTCTGTATAACAAATGTTGATTAAGATCTCAGAGGAAAACATGCTTCTTGTCTTCACATCTAAAATAAATAAAATTTACAAAACATTTTGTAAAAATAGCATTAAGCCGACAAACTGTGTAACAAATTGATGGTGAAGGCCACCCAAGTCAAAGCATATCATTTTCACTTTGAATACGCAGTGTGGGGAAACCTCTTATAACTATCACTATCAGGAAAAATATGTTTTGCTTTCCCTGGTTTGTAAAAACTTGCTAATGTTAATATTTTTAAGTTGGAGCAATTTCAATGTTGTTGTCTGTTTGTAGGTAATCAGATTATGTCCTGTTAATTTGTATGCTTTATTTCACCTATTTTAGTACACTTTTTATTATTTTGCTTAAACATTTTCTGTTTAATTATGAAGTGTGCTTTCCTCATAATGTTAACCTATTCAATTAAAAAATAATTGATGCCATAACTGTTACACATGTATGTATTTTTTCTATTTTTAAATTCATCTCAACACAGGCTTGTTTTTTAAACATCTCAGAAGTCTGATCAATTTTCACAGGCCTTCATTTAACAACTCTATTTGTCTTTCAATTACCTTATCTAATACTATCAGCTGTTCATGTTCTCACCCTCTGCACTAAGTCAGTTGTGCAGCAATAAGAATACCTGTGCTTATACTTATTGGCACATTACAGATCACAGCCTGATCCACACTTACATACAAAACAGCACTTTATACACAGTTCTCAAGTTGTAACCTGAATTAGCAGAACTAGGTAATATTGAGTGAGAGTACACTGAGAAGTGAAACATAGTGTTTCATATCTAGTTCTACTTCAATACAATCTTATATGGGCATAATTTTCCACCCAAAATGGATAAGGCTGTATAGGAAATGGCAATCCCATGTAGTGTAGGTGCATCAATATTGATAGAAATACGCAGTAGGCCAATTGCCATCATAACAATTTATAAGACAGAACCTCTTTTGTGCAATGTAACTTAAAAGAAACAGTAAGCCACTTTAATGGATTTTCTTCCATATGTACACCATCGTGAACAGATATTGCCATACAGAATTATAGTATCTAATCAGGAATTGCACTACTGAGCTCACCAGATCTAAGTGAAGTTCAGTGAAGCACAAATCTGTCAATTTAGTTACGCTACCTAACAGAAACAAATGTCAGATGTAGGAGCAGCACTTTTGCTCTATTTATTTTCTAGTGAGCATATGTAAAACCAACACCCATCTTCTTTTCTGCTTACCTTAGTTTCAGTTTCATAAAGTATAGTTATGGAATAACACTAGTGCTTTTCCCATCAAGAGAATTTTGCACTTTCGTCACATGAACTATAAAGACATATTTGAATTTATAGGCAAGTTGAACCACTTCTTCCTTGTGCATCATCCTAGTTAAATAAATGTTGCTGATGCAGAACAAATTGTGCAAGTGGCTCTATGACACAAATGTTGCAAACTGGTTTGTCAAGGAAAAAAGCAGAATGACTGCTCTTAAATATATGGTCTAAATCTAGAGATTTACTTTCTAAAAAGACTACGGACTAGACTACTGTTGCTCCTGAGCTAGTGATTCTTATATGGCTA